TTTTTTTTCATACACCTCTTCTATTATTATTTTTATTTATTACAACAAAGGACCCTATGAAATTAGAGTAAATCTTGTGATCGCCATAAAACAATATATTTATTTGCGTTTAGGACCCAGTAATTCTAGTGTTAAACTCAGAATCAGTTTTCTAATGTTACAAACATTTACCATTTTTTTTAAAGAAATTTTTTAAAAGAAATACATACTATAAATCCTCTCTTAATTTTGAAACAATGAAGCATATCAATTCACACATACTAATTAGATATATTTTGTGTTTCAGTAAATAATTGAGAAAATTCAACTCTATCTGTGCTGTCTGTTAGAAACATCACAAAACAACTTCACCAGCCTCTACCATCATTTCATCTATAATAATCAAGTTCATACACATCAGGTTGTATCGAAATTACAATTCAGAGCTCCAACAATACTTCATGCTGTTAGTATCTAATTAAAGTTAAAATCGTCAAGATTTTGACATAGAAATATTTTCAGGACTCGCCACAAGACCTGCGGAAGTCGGCGGTGTAATCTGGACTATCACTATCATTCTACACATCTGCATACGATAGTTGCAATGGTCCCGGTTCAAGTAACAAAGTTCCAGTCACCTTATATTATGTATGCAAAGTCGAATGACAAGGATTGCTAGACTGCAGATTTTTATGCAAGATAAAAATGATCCATATCAATTGTAAAAAGCAGTAGCTTGAAATTTCTTCCTTTGTTCAACAATCTCTACGTAAATTGTGAATAATGCATCATTTTTAAATCCTTCGAATCCTTCCACTGATCCAAATTTCTTCTACTCATTTTTATCAGAAGGGCATAAAATCTGCAATCTAATAATGTAATATATAATAACAATAATATATAATGGCATAACATATGAGATATAATATCATAACTAGTAAATGTAATGTAATCTTCTCAGGAAGATTTCGAAACCACTGGTGTATTTCCAACGACAATCTACAATCTCCCGTAGTAACGCCTGTGTCACTTCCGGTTCGAGGAATTGCTACACCGAATTGCTACATCATATTATACACTCGCGTATTTATTAGGTGAGACACGTTGCGCGAGTCTTTTGAAGTTTAGACTGGGGAAAATGCAATTCAGTTCTACTAATAATTTTCTATTGTTTTAAAGTAACGTTGCAAGGAGAGATGCGTGGGTGGTCGATTGTATGGGGTCTGCATGTTATGGAGTGCTGATTCAGGCGTGCACTCACAATGAAATAATCGTCGGATAGAATGACACTATCGGTCTGGGTCGGAGAGATTTAGATAGAGTCGATGCTGAACACTCCCAGCATGATCGTGGTATCATTTCGTAAATTGCTCATTAAATTATGGCCCAGATAAGCCGCGCATGTGATGCACGCGTGTATTAATATGGTATTATCAACTATTATCTATAATTAATAATCTACAATCTGAAAGAAATGTTGTTTCAGGGCGCTTATCTTATAGGCAGAGTCCCAAAAAGTAGAAGTATTGAATCTAAAGAAGGAAGTTCAGGAAATTAGAATTTGTTTATAATTTCGGGGACTATATATATATATGGAATAATCTTTTTTCAATTAGGAAAACGTTATTACAATAGGCCGATCCTTGTAGATTAGAGGGAAAGAAGAATCAACTCGATCAGACAAGCAGTTTCTGAGATAAAAATTCATAAGCTCAGTCTGTCCCTAACGAGCGATAGGCAAGATTATTGCAAAATTCGAAGCTTCGTATTTTACGAACGAAATTTGATGACTTAAACCCTCCCTAATTTTGCTTGTACTATAACATATTTCATTTCGAGCAAGATCCGCAACGTAGATTTTATGATATGGACGTTTTTCTGGTGTTAAAAATACATTCTCATGTAAAAGAAATATTAAACGACAGAGATAATGTTTATGCATTATATGTATACTATTATACTCTGAAGTTTATACATGTTTCACACGTGTATAGTCGAAAGGGGAATATTTAAAACTCTTTACATTAAATATTAGCATTTTGGGAAAGTAAAATTCACAAACATAATCTGGATCATTTGTACTTTGCATATTTTCTCTCGTATTCTGCACCTTATAAAATGAAAATACGAAAAGAAATTCGCATTAATCAAAAGAGTGTCTCGATTAAAACCACGTTCTAGTTAGTTCACGTGGGAATTAATTCGATTTATCGATGCAAAGGTAAAATAAAGGGTGAATAAATCTCAAAGACCTTACAAATCAAGGACAATAATCTTCTTTCAGATTCGACATTCTAATAAACTTTCCATTCATCGTTTCGACAAAACAAATATGCTTGCTTGATCGCAACGTCCCCTCCCCCGTCACGTGTCGTGATACGCGGGAGTCGCCTGTATTTAAAATAAACGATCAATAAGTATCAGAAATAAAAATAGAATCAAGGAAACGGTATCAGTAAAAGTGTTAAATTAATTGTTTGGTGCGTGCAAATAAAAATGCAATGTATTTCGATTGGGTATTCGTTTAAAAGAGATTACTAGAACGATTAGGATATTTCACTATTGAGTTCCATAGGAACTATTCAGATTTTGTCACTGAAGTCATAATTGTATGTCGAATGAGTAGCAGAAAGGTATTCAAATGAACTTAGGTTCGCCATTCGACGTTCGTTGCGTCATGGCATAATCTTTGGCTAAAATGATTCAGACAAGGATTTATGGTAATTATCAAAAATAGTCTAAGTGAACATTAGAAATTAAAAATTTTATTTATGTTACACTAATTAGATATTTCTGTCGCTAAATAAACGTAACTCGGATCGTTATGTATATAAATTTACGACATTTTTATAGTGATTGGTCGATTGCGGATCTTCATGCTTTTATGGCACTTGAAAATTCGTAAAATAGAAGGGAATATATAAATTTATAGGGGATTATATAAATTTGACTTTCGCCTTGGATCTTAGAAAAATGTCCATAAAAATCGAAGATTTCTTGTTACTCATCCGAGAAAATTAAGATTTCCCCGTGACTTCTCTTCATTTGTTCATTTTTTATAAATAATAAATTATTATCTATTAAGAAATGAATCTTCATCCGATTCATCTCAATGAAATTCTTAACATCCGAGATATTTCATTACCGAACATATAGACGAAATAAATAACAGAACTAATTACGTAAAGTTATAATAAGTGTATAACAACCAATGGAGATAATGATACGATATTCCGATTACATTATTACATTATTGATCAGTGTCTCCTTTCTTAGGAAGAAAAAGATGGCGATCGTGACCATTTTGTGTCTCTTCATGTCCTGAATGACAAAACTTTTAATTTTTACTTCTGTGGTACAAGTAAATTTAATTTTATAATAACATCGTTTGATTTATTCAATTTTACTATTGATAAATTAAATTGAACTAAATTTTCTATGAAATCTCAAATTTTTTGATGGCATTATTTTAACGAAACTGATACTTTGAAGTATTTGCAGAACGTCTAAAATTAATTCGACCGAAAAAAAGCGATTATGGGTGGTGAATACCGCACTTTATTTATACTAAAGAGGCGTGTACAATTTACCGATAAAATACGTGTACAATAAAAATAAAAATATAAAAATTGAGCTGAGTTGAAAAGATAATTTGAAGGATTATTTATTAATAACTTTATAAATACCGCATAGCGATAAGATCACCATGCGAGAACAGCATTATAAAGATTACATTCTATCGCGGATATCCAGATGATTTTTTTCTCTGCTGTCTTAATGTCATTAATGTTAAGTCAATTTTATTGAGCAGTATGAGGATAAATGGAAGATATGAAAACAAAGTGATCGTTGACATGAACTATTATGTAATCGTATAAATTAGAAGTGACGTCAAAGTCTTGCTTCAATACAGCAGTTCAGAAGTCATATATGTATTACATTTAGCAAGTGTTAAAAAGTCAGAGATGTTCCGGCAAGCTTTAATTACCAACTATCGTGTGGTACCATATTACTAATTTTATTGTACGACAATTTATGTCCTTGTGTCTTAATTGTCATATTTCTGGTAACTCTACATAAAATACATTGCTTCTTACGGCAATATATCTTATAATACCAATAAACTTTCTTCATGTTTCTGAGTATTATAAACAGAGCATCTTCCTGTTTATCATAAGTACAAATGCTGTCGTTTTCAAAAATAATGAATTATCCAAAATAGGTAATTATCTTGCTCTAGTTGTTCTCATTGCAAATAAGTCATTACATAAAACAGAGCTTAATGCTGTTA